TATAGGAACTTAGTTGTTTGTGGTAATTGTGAGATCCAATATGAGCCAATCATTTAAATAATTAATGTTATATCCTAAAATAACATAAAGGGTAAATTGGTAATGYTATAATTATAAAACCCTAGATGCTTTAGGTACTCTTCTCCTTTGTCTACTTCTTCTCCGGCCACCCCCATCTACTTCTTCATTGACGGTTTCCCTTCCACAACCATCTCATCTTCTCCTTTATTAGAAAACCTTATCTCTCTTCTTTGATTTGGCCCCATGAAATCAACAACCCTTTCTGGTTTTGCTTTGACTGTTTCTTTGATGGCTTCAAAGCATTGACTGGGACTTGCTGGAGTGGTTCACGAGGCAGATGACGGAGACGAGACACAACAGAGGCAGTGCGAAGGGGAAGGTTCGGGTGTGCTTTGCCTATTTCCTCGTCCCTGTGTTGGTATTAGTTCGTACGGTGGTGCAGGGGTGCGTGCGTGTGTTGCGGAAGGTGAAAGGGAGAAGGGAGATAAGGAGATGGTGACTGCAACAATGAAGGGGTGGTCGGAGAAGATGGATTGGGAAAGGATGAGACGGATGAAAATTCTGTGGTACATGGTGGTACCCAAATTGGTAATACATTGGGTAATGGGTATCACAGGTTGGCCGGAGAAGATGGATTGGGAAAGGAAGAGACGGGTGAAAATTTTGTGGTACATGGTGGTACCCCAATTGGTAATACATTGGGTAATGGGTATCATAGGGCGGCCGGAGAAGATGGATTGGGAAAGGAGGAGACGGATGAAAATTTTATGGTACATGGTGGTACCCCAATTGGTAATACATTAGGTAATGGGTATCACAGGGTGGGCAAAGAAGATGGATTGGGAAAGGAGGAGACGGGTGAAAATTCTATGGTACATGGTAGTACCCCAATTGGTAATACATTGGTACCTGCCGGATTAATGTTCACCGGAGGCCGGAGATCGGAGGTCGGAGAGAGGAGAGAAAAGTTTTTTAAAAATACCTAAAATGCCCTCTAATTATAATTTTAACTCAAATTACCATAATTACTAATTTTCTTATTTATCCGTTGATTTGTGGTTAAGATTGGATCTCACAGTTATCACAAACAACTCAGTTCTCCTTTGAATGGGCCCATATATATATATATATATATATATATATATATATATATATATAGATATGACAATTGGATATTTAATAAGTCAATCAATGTAATAAATAAAATGAATTAATAATACTTAAAAATGTTTTATTTCGAGATATATTAAGAATTTGTCTCATTGGAGAATGTGTTTGTATAAAAAGCTTAAAAATCGAAATATATAAACTTGGGATCACGTGAGACCAACATGTTCTCTTGAGACCTATGAGACCATTTTTTTTTATATTTGAACCTTCACAGCAAAACGTTGTAAAGGTAACATTCATAGTGTTTTTATTGTGAAGGTTTGGTTTTTTTTTACATTTACAACTTTTTGCTGTGAAGTTTGAGAAAGCGCTTTTCTTTGCCCCTTAAGTAGAAGGACAAGAAAGATATTCTTGGTTTTCTTGCTCCCGCTTCCTCATTTGCGCTCATCAAGCCAACTTTGCTCTTTGGGAGGTGAAAGAGCGGTTGAAGCGGACAAACCGCATCAAAGATATATTTATATGTATCTCTCTCTATACATATACACACACGGTTACGGTTATCTCGAACTGCGTTCCAAAAAAAGTAGCCTACTTGAGAAAGAAGGGGCGGGCACTCTTGTCTTTCAACCCCACTATACTATTCATAGTTGTGGGGCACTGTGTACTTACAGCCTCTACGATAAGCAAGTGAATGGGGCCGGTGCGTGGCGAACGGAACGGTTCATCAAGCCATTTTTAGCCTTCACTCCCGCAAGTATAAAAAAAATGGTCTTATGGGTCTCATGAAAACAGGCTGGTCTCACGTGAATCCAACCCTCTATACCATTAAATCATTAGCTTATAAAGTTAATCGATGAACATAAATTGGTCTTACAAGTCTCACGAAAAACTCTGGTCTCACGTGAACCCAACCCTATATATATATATATATAGAGAGAGAGAGAGAGAGAGAGAGAGAGAAAATTTGTTTCAAATACAACCCATCGCATTTGTACAACCAATGCAACCCAATAAATTGATATATTTATGGAAATGATGAGAGTTCATTTATTATGATTTGAGTATTTATGAAAGATGAATATGGTTCATTAATTATGATCAATACTTTATATTATGAAACAATCAAAACTTCCATGAAATCACATATTAATCAAATGAAATGGACGGTTGAGATTGGGTTGTATTGGTTGCACAAATGTCAATGATTATATAATAACCAACCTATATATATATATATATATATATATATATATATGTGTGTGTGTGTATGTGTCCATACAAATGTAACCCTTGCATATGTTTCACCCCTTAGAATCCAATTTTATCCTTTCATTTTTCATCCAATAGCCTAGATTAAAAGGGATAGAAATTGTAAATATTCAAAATACATGATTATGCACATTAAAACGTTAACATGGTATAACAATCACGAAGAAAACAATAGAAATCTTCCATAAAACTTGAAAATAACACATGCAATCCATTTGTGCAACTCACTTTTTTTATTAACTTGGATATCCAACCCGCTATGCGAACCGACTAATCTTAGGACAACCAAATGTTTTGCAGATAGTCCGGAGTCACCGCATTTGAACATCCGTGACCACAAAAGATTTTTATTTCTCCTTGGATTTAAACCTAGGACCTCCAGGTACTTTTGATTTTTGGAGTCAAACTCAAACAAATCACTTTACGAATCATAATCCAAAGTC